CCCCAAAACCCCAAAACCCCGAATGACCATTCTCACTCAATTTTGAATAATTCAAGATCAATTTATAATCAGGAATAATCTAGAAATAAATAATAGGAAATTAATGGTATCATCAAAGAAAGTTTAGTTGGGACTATTTATCTTATCTCTATGGTTCTTAGTCTAGGCCTTTGAGGCTGCATATTACAATGGGAAACATGCAAATAATTTATCTGCTTAGTACCTGAAAACACATACTAAATATTAGGCTTAGATGAGGAAACTGACAAAGAAGTATACTAAATATGAGATTAAAATGCCAGAGCCAGAGATAATCACTAATTACAAAAATAAAATTTCTTATGGAGTTGCCTATTTCTATCTAGTAGGAGGATTATGCTTAGCATTCCAAGTTAAGTTTGCGAATGTACTACTCATCCCTATACATTTAATGGTTTCAGTGCTATAGCATAATCCTGAATTGGCTGAAAGAGATGCAGAATACTAATTGAAAGTGCGCTAGTTTTTATTAGATGGACTTATTCTAGCAGCATTAATTACATTTCAAGGAGTGAAATTCAGGAGATGAAAAGAATATTGTTCACTGCAATGATTATAATGGCAGTATTCAAACTAAATAAAATGATTGGAAGTGTAGTGATGAATGAATATCTTATTTACTTAATGTCTTCAGTTATTTTGATTTTAAATTAAGTGAATTATAGTCTTTAAATTTAACACAGTAATTAAGATAAATACAACTTTTATGAAGCTAATTGAACTTCAATATCTGGGAGGTGGGTGATAGCCTTGTGGAGGTCTATAAGCTTGCTGTCCCCATCCACTTGGAGGCTGATAAGCCTGAGGCATCGGTTAACCCCATTATCCTCCATAGCCTGGCTAGCCATATGCAACTGGTTGCTAATATTGGTTATAAACTGGGTTTTATTAAGGCAGTGGTTATTGACCGTAAACTTGCTATTGCTGATTCAAAGGTTTTTGCTAACTTATTGATTGTCCAGCTTACTCTTATAGTTTTGCATACTAGCCTTCTTTAACATTATTAGCTTTGTACAATTCGTTTACATTTTGGTTGAAATCATCAAATTAAGAAGGTCTTGTCATACCAGAATTCTAAAGAATCACAATTAAGTCTACGATGCCCTCTTCCAGTGAGAAATTCTTCAACTAAGCCATTTCTTTGTTAAGTTCAAAGGGTGGCACATCCTGAATGCCTGACTGCTACTTTTAGGAGATGTTTTGCACAGGGTTTTGAACCTGCACAAAGGACATGAAGTTTGGTCGACTCATTATTTTTAGTTTTATATTATTATTTCTGATTTATATAAAATGCTATAATTCCCATCTTTCGGGGTTTTGGGGTTTTGGGGTTTTGGGGTTTT